GTGCTACTGGATCTGTGGATTACTAAGTGGTAGCAAATCCACATAAACATCATGTTATTTAGTTATCAGCTGGGACTCATATATAAAATATATATATATATTTTTTTAATTCTCATGAAAATTTCTGACTAGAACATCGACTAAAGCTTAGAGAAAAAATTTAAGAGCAGCACAGAGAGCCTTCTTCCCCGTGAGCCATCGGCCGCCACGACGCCCCATCACCCCCTCGGTGCTTCTGTGCGCATCTCCTGCAAATGCGGACCTTCTCCCGCATTGCTCAACACCCACGTTACAATTGGGAAGTAACACCGATACGTTGCTACCTTTTAATTTTCAGACCCCACTTAAGTTTTGCTAAATGTTCCCATGAGGTCTTCAATATTAAAAGGACCCCCCCATTCCAATGTGTTCCAACACTGGACAGTTCCTCAGTCTTCCCTTGATCGTCACTTTAACACTCTTGAGGATTACAGGTGTTTTTTTTTTTTGCAAAACCGCCCCTCAGTGGGGCTTTGTCTGATGATTCCCCAGGACTAGATAGAGGCTCTGTGTCTTTCTGACAGGGATGCCACGTGTCCTCATGAGAACACTCTCAGATGCCCGTGGGATGATGACCTGACCGGGGACTCTTCTGTTTCATTTTCAGGTGGAATTTAGGCAAAACATATAATATCGTTTTGGGATCTGGACAAGTCGTGTTGGGAATGGATATGGGTCTCAGAGAGATGTGCGTTGGAGAGAAACGGACGGTGATCATTCCGCCCCACCTGGGCTATGGGGAGGCTGGCGTGGGTAAGCGACAGTGTTAAAGGGTGTTTGGGGCACATTCACCATCTAAATTTTGTGCTTTTGGGGGTGCCATATTTAGAATCACAGTATGTTTCTTCCATTTTAAACCCAAAGAATCTTTTTTTTTTTTTTTTTTTAAGTATTTAGTCTACGGCCATGCCACCCTGAATAAGCTGGATCCTGTCTGATCTCGGAAGCGAAGCAGGGTCGGGCCTGGTTAGTACTTGGATGGGAGACCACCTAGGAAGACCAGGTGCTGTAGGAGTAAAAAATAAAAAAAGCTAAGCAGGGTCGGGCCTGGTTTGTACTTGAATGGGAGACCACCTAGGAAGACCAGGTGCTGTAAAATGAAAAAATAAAGGATTGTAAGCTGACAAGGTCCTTGCAATTTGTGAGGTCAACCAAGGGTTGCTTCGCCTAAAAAAAAAAAAAAAAGTATTCCGCATGTGTGTTTAAAGGCCCCTGTGAATGCAGTGCTGATGCCATGCTAACGCTCCGTGCCCTCCTGAGAAAGCAGGGCTTTCCATGAGAAAACCTGGGACCTTCAGACCTCCGCGTGTGAAGTGTCCCCGGCGGAGCTTCCCAGGAAACTTCTCTTGGGCGAGGCTAAGTGCTCCCTTCTAAAACAGTCCTGAAACAGTGAATTGCTAGCAGCCTTTGCTTTTCGCTTCTCCCGAACCTGTAAGCTGTCCAAGGAGATTTCCTTTGGTAAGAGATGAGTTTCACCTTCTGGAAGTACTGGCGTCACCTCGCCCTCACAGCTGTTACGGCCCATGTACTTTAGATTTCGGCCAGAATGAGTCCACATGGGGGTTCAGGGACCCCTTCTTTTTCAGTGGAGGAGATGGGGAGAGCTAACTTGTAAAAGTGGTAGGTGCTTTGATCTTCTCTTTTTCACCGTTTTTAAATAATTGTAAACATTTTCTTTGCTACCCCACCCCAATCTGAAAAGAAACGCTTAAAAAATATGTTGTATATCCTGTAAGACCATGCTCCTATGAGACAGGAGCATGGTCTTACAGGATATACAACATATTTGCAGCCTCTGCAAGCATGTGCTGCTGTGAGCTGAAAGGAAATGAAGCCCAAATTCCATTAAAATATATAGAAATAATTACATAATCTATAATAACAATTTAAATAATACATCTTACGTTGTGTGTGCGTGTATATATATTTGCATGCTTATATAACTTCTTTGGGACTCATACTATATATACTGTTCTTGAATTTGTGTTCACAGTCATATCTTAGATCACGATTTGACAGCATACCTTATTATTCTTGCAGTTCTGCTGTTAGATTTATTCAAAAGTTCTACCTTTGTAGTCTCTACTAGTGCCTTTCAAACATTTTTCACCAAAACACACAATAAGAAATGCATTTTGTCTCCTAATCTGTATTACATATAAACATACTATGTATATCTATATACATATACACACTTAGTTTATATATAAAGTTGAAACTCCGGTTTCATAAAACGATACTTATCCTTTCAATATGCAATGTACCCTGATCTATTTTATTCTGTCCCTTAATTTAAAAAAAAAAAAATGCTGGTCACTATCCTCTAAACTGATTTTATTACTCACTAATGGTCACTAACCTACAGTTTGGAAGAGCCATGTGCAAGGCTGCTCTTTCTTGCACAGAAATGCCTGCACTCGGCCAGGCGGCCTGATCCAGGGTTGGGCGCGGGCGAGGGTGTGAGGCTGCTGTCCCGCGGTGCTCACACTGCGTCCCCTCCCCCCCACCCCTGTTGGTGACACAGACGGAGAAGTGCCTGGCAGTGCGGTGCTGGTGTTTGACATCGAGCTGCTGGAGCTCGTGGCTGGCCTGCCTGAGGGCTACATGTTCGTATGGAACGGAGAAGTGTCCCCCAACCTCTTTGAAGAAATTGACAAGGATGGCAATGGAGAAGTCCTCCTGGAAGAGGTAAGTGACCTTGGCAAGAAAGTGGGAGCCTGACTGGGCTTCCGAACGTGAGGCCTTGTCGGCGTGGGGAGGGCCCTGTGCTCGCCCCCCCGTGGTGACGATAACCTGTCCCCGCGTGTGCCAAGCACTTTTACACACGCTCTCTAAGTCAAAACTCATAATTCCTCTTTGAATAAACTGAGGCCCTGAGAGGTGCGGGCTCGATTCTAGGGCTCCCAGACCTAGATTCGGTTTTCAGTTCCTAGGTGCTCGCTGCATGCCTGCATGGCGCCGTTTGTCACATATGTTAATCTTGCTTGGCCCTCACGACAGCCGTGTAACCGTCCCTAGTTCTCAGAAGAAGCGGCTGTGCACAGAGAAAGCAAATGACTTGCCCGAGATCACACAGCTGCCTGGCGCTTTGAGCCAGGATCCGCTCCCCTGTCCAGTCATCCAGGTCCTGTTGTTTGTCCTGAGCCAGACACCCCCTCGTGGAGCTGGGCAGTCGCGCCCGCGGTCCTGTCACGGCTCTGGTGAAGTCCAGCCCTCACCCGTTCCACATCTGCTTCCTCCAGGACGCCACTCCAGGCTTCTCGCCTTTCTTTCTCACATCACCGTTTCCTCAGCGACCGGATGGTTCGCGTTGGCGCCGAGCCTGGTCTTGCCAGGGTGACCAGTGCCTTCCATGTTGCTGACTCCGGTGGTTGGTTCTCTCTCGTACTTCAGCACGGCTGACTCCTTGAGCACCACGCACGCAGCGTTCCTTCTGTCCCACGGGTGGCTCCTTCTCAGGAGTCTCTGAGCTCTTCACGTCGGAGCGTGGCCGGCTGAGTCCTCAGTTTCTTCTCTTGTCCACCTCGCGTCACTCCCGGCCGGCTCGTCCAGCCCTCTGGCTTTACCGTGTATATCCTGAGGACTTCGGAATTTGTCACTCTGGTCCAGTCTTCTCTCTCCACTTCACACTCATTTATCCATCCACCTGCCCACGTGACATCTTCATGTATTGAATCCCTGGTATCCACCCCCTCAACTCTGAACGCACTTCACCCAAAGCCTTTTCTATCTCACATGATGGCAACTTCATCCTTCCATTTGCTCAGGCGAGAGCTCTCAGTGGTCTTTGTCTTTCTCTCATAGGCTAGGATAAATCCGTCAGGAAATCATTCTCGCTCTGTCTCGAGAATACATCCAGAACGTAGCCATTTCTCACCACCTCCACCTCCACATCTTCGTCTCGTGCTGCCACGTCCTCTTGGACGTCTGCGAAGGTCTCCCTGCTTTCGCCTTTGCCCTTCACAGCAGCCGGGGCGATCCTTCTAAACATGAGTCGGACCGTGGCCCGCTTCAGGACTCAGACCCTGCAGAAGCCCCTGTACTTTCCACCTTCTTTACAGTGGCCTGCAAAGGCCCCGCCAAGGCCTCCCACAGTCCGCTCGCTGTAGCCTCTTCCCCAGCTGCTCTCCTCTTGCTGTTCTGGGAACACACAGGCCTGCATCCGCCCCAGGCCGATGCTGTTCTCTCTGCTCAGGAGACTCTTCCCCTAGCTAGCTGTCAGGCGTGTTCCCTCACTCCCTCAAGGCTTTGCACAAGTCTGTCTTTTGCCTGGGGCTCTTACCCTCACTCCCAGGTTGACGCTTCGACCCGCTTGCTCACCTGTGCTCTTGATCTTCCCTCCTAGGCTCAACTTTTTAATTTTTCTAGAGCATTTCACTCTCTAACTTAATATGTAATTGACTTATTTTTTGGGGTGTTCATTTTTAATCGTGTGTCTTTCCTACTAGAATATGCTAGAACTACAAGAGCGTGTTTCGTTTGTTTATTGACGTGTCGCTAGGGTCTGGGATGGTGCTGAGCACACAGCAGATGGTCCGTTTTTATTGTGCGAATGAATGAATGAATGAATGGATGGATGGATGGATGGATGCAGGCAGCAGTGGTCTCGGCGGCAGGGATCTGAGGTTGGGGGTCATCCTTCGGTGGAGAGCTAAGGTTTGGTTTGGGGAGAAGGGATAGCTCCAGTGGCTGCTCTGAATTAATTGCCTAGGACCTAAGGGCTCCTGGAATCATTTAGTCAGGGGTTTTTAACCGGCACCTGGAGAAAAAAATTCAGGTGGTATAGCTCACAAGGCCTTGTCTGATTTGCTAGCTCGGACTCAAACTCTATTCTGTTCAGGCCCAGGCTTGGCGTTCTCAGCTGCTGAATCTTAAGGCCTGTCCTGTCCCTTTTCTCTACAGTTCTCAGAGTACATTCATGCCCAGGTGGCATCGGGCAAAGGCAAACTCGCTCCCGGTTTTGATGCCGAGATGATTGTGAAGAACATGTTCACCAACCAGGACCGGAATGGAGATGGCAAGGTCGTGGCGGAGGAATTTAAACTCAAAGACCAGGAGGCCAAACATGACGAACTCTAAACCTGCTGTGAGTCACTCGTGTGACACCAAGCCCCCCGTCGTGGCACACCGTGCCGTGAGGGCGCGAGGGCCTCTCAGAAGGCGAATCGTCAGCAAGTGGGAGCGAGTCAGCATCTGGGGCATACATCAGGGGTGGGTCGATGCACACGGTGAGAATTTTAGGCCGAATGCCATGATATTAAACAAAATCGGTGTGAGGTGCCTTCGCGTGGGCTGTGTAGGATATCGAAAAGGCCGCACTGCCAATCATTGTTTTGTGAGCCTTTGGGTAGTTTTGTTACTAACGGAAAATAGTGTCATACAGAAGTTAAAGCTAGCTTTAAGGGAACAGAAGAAAAAGTGACCAGGATATTTATGTAAAGAGGGTTAGGAAAAAAATTTTTTTAACTTTGCTGACGTGTTTTTTTTGTTTTTTTTTTCTTTTTTAACACGTGTTCTCCCAATGGGCAGAAGAGACATAGGGCATGCCCCAGCAGGATTTCTGGAAAGCCTCAGAAAACTTTTCTCAGTGGCCTGTACAGGCTCTGGTGATGCCCAGCCTCCACCTTCCCTTACACACACACGTACACACACACGCTTTTCTAGTTAATCACACCCCACAGCATTGTGGTTCCCTGACTAGCCAGGTAACTTGGAGGTTAAAAAGAACATCAGTGGACCAAGCAAAAGGTACCTAGGACCACGGGTCGAGAATCTGTTTCTGCATTTGCCACGTGAGATTATCTGCTTTACTCTTTCTTATTTCCGTCCCACTGTCCCGTAGTGCACCCTGTGCCCTCCCTGACCCCTTTGATCAGACAGATATGCACAGGGCTGGTGGCTAAGCCGGACTCCGGAGTATCTCACTGTGGCCGAGGTGCAAGTGTCATCGTAACAGATGAGCACAGACAATGTGACATATTTCTGCTGCCCATGTGTGTCCTAGAGAGGGAGGTGCCCCAAAGCCCGGAGCTTCTCCCTGCACAGGAAAGCAAGGACACGGTAACTGCTGGCCTGTGTCGCCATGTGATGCAGTAACCACCTTGTCACCTTATGTCCTCTGTTCCCAACTAGTGGTGGCACTCACCCTGAAGTAATCAATGATTTTTTTTTTTCTGAAATTGCTTTATTTTACTAATTTAAACTGTTTTGTGCTGATGTAGCTCCACGAAGATGCCATGCACTCATTCAGCAGAATAAATGTTGGAAAACTGACCTTTTCGTATATAAAATACTGAATTCTGTCATCAGGTTTTGTGGTGTTTTATTTGAAGGCTGAGGGGATCCCACGGGAATGTACTGTGCAGTCAGGATCCCCTTGATAAACACTCAGCGAGACCGCTCTGTAGCAGCAGCGGACGGGAGTGTGAGCCCGCCCTCCTAGCGACTTCTGCAGAGAAGCTCATGGAAGGACCGCTTGCTTGCAAAGGCGTGGGCAGGACTTGGGGACCCATGTCGAGGCACCCAGGACAGCTGGTGGCCAGTGACAGCAGGAGCTTGTTCCGCCTCTGGGCCTGAGCCACTCCCGGAACTGTGGCTGGCACTGCAGCGGACAAGGGGTGAGGGAAGACACACTCCATTCTCTCTGTCCTGCTCCCATTTGCTGAATCCCGTCTGAGCCAGAGGCAGGAGAGCTCAGGGGCGGATGTTCTCAGAGGACCGACTGCCTGTTGGGTGCAGAGAAAGGTGGAGCGTGGATCAGGTAGGGGGTCAGTGTGGGAGCAGGTGGAGAACCTCTGGCACCGGTATAGGGGGAAAAATGTCTATATTGTGAGGAATACGTTCACCGACCAGGACCGGCGAGGTCACGGCAGAGTAATTTAAACATATGTTTTTAAAAAGCTCACTTGATTGTGTAACTTCTTGCAGAAGCAACTTCAGGGATTCCTTGGGCTTTGGAAAGGCAAGGGAGAGGCCCATGGCACTTCCGGGTGCTGCTGCCACCATGGTCACTGATGTTCCTTAACCCTCCTCGACCCAGCGCACCGTCGCTCAGAGTGTTCGTTCTCCGTACATGCCCTGGATAGGTTAATAATCTTGCGAACTTGCTAAATTGAACTGCAGTTTACTGGAATGTATTGCGTTGGATCTGTAGCACTTCCCTGGGCTTTTATTTTCTACTTCAGAGTTTTAGCCGATCCTGCTTGAATTTCTTCACTGGCTGTTTTCTACAGCGATGCAGAAAAGTTGGCTGAATAAAAAAAAAAAAGTTTCTCTGGGGAAATTAAGGACTGTGGCCTTACAGCTTCAAGAACAGAAGGAACCTTTAGCTTGTTTTTGGTTTTAAACTTTGCCTGATGAGCCGGAATGCTGGTCTTTCCTGGCCATCAGCCTCAGACTGAAATATTGGTTCTTCTTGGGTCTCCAGCCTGCAGTCTTTTGTCGTTTTTTGTTTGTTTTTTTTCCCACCCAGAATTATCGAGGTCTAATTAACACATAAAATTGTAAGATATTTAAAGTATCCATGATTTGACATGTATACACATTGCGAAGGGAGTCCCCATCTAGCTCATTAACACATCCATCAGCTCACATATTTCTCTTTTTTTAGTGAAAACATTTAAGTTCTCTGTTAGCACATTTCACTATACGATATGGTGTTAGCAACTGTCGTTACCATGTTATACATTACTCAGACCTTATCTTAGCCCAGAAGCTTTGTACCCTTTTTCCTGACCCCCCAGCCCATGGCAACCATTTTTTTAGTTTTTATGACTTCATCCTTTTATTATTATTATTATTGTTGTTGTTATTATTATTCCACACGTAAATAATGCCATGCAGCATTTATCATTCCAGACCTTTGGCTGCTGTCGAGTGCTGCCCGGGCATTTCCATTCTTTGCATTGCTAAGGAGGGCGTTAGATTATCTGTGGGTCTATCGGGCTTTCCCTTCTGTGGAAGGGCGAGCATGCTTAGCCGGCCTCGCCTGAGGATGCTGCCGTAACAACTGCTTATGTGTGCGTTATGATTATGGGTTATAGTTCTGCTGGCAGCACTGTGAGTACTAATTAGGGGCCAAAAATAGGGTGGAATTGCCGTAGAGCATTTTTCTGAATCCCATTTTATACTCAATATTTGCCGCTTCGCGGCAGCTCGTCCCTCCCGATAGAATGGATGTCCACAAGCTCTAGATCAGGACCACCGAACTTACGACATACGGTTTGGATTTTGGACCCTAAAGATGAACTAGGTCACCGATGCCTAGTAGGAGATGAGAGTAGACTAGAGGACATGACATTCGAGGACGCATGTGGCCGGTGTGCTTGAAACACTAGGCTACTCCGCAAGTGTAAGCAGTCTGTGCTATTTTGTTAAAACCTAGTATATAAAAAAAAAACAAAAAACGAAAAACAGTGAGTTTTGATCCCTGACTATTTAGGAATTTATAATGCTTTTCAAAATTACTAAAGGACAGAAAAATAATTTCATTTTGGCAGTGAAATTGGCCTGACTGCAAGGTTTTACGTAAGCACACTAGGGACAAGGTTGTTTTCTTTGAAGCCTTGGGGATCTGGTTTTTTTTTCTATATATAAAACAAGAATACTGCTCCCAGTTATTGCTAGTTGTGCCTATAAAACTTTAAAGCTTATTAAAATAGTGTGTGATTCTGGGTGGTCTTCACCCTTCATGTTGGAATTTCAGGTCAGGGGATTCCCTGCAGCTTGCCCTGGCCATATATAAATCTCATTTAAATGCAGATAACGTCCAGCTTTATAGCTGCTGCCAAAATTTCTTTGAGCTCTAGTCTATTTGGTGTCTTCTCTTGTGTATCTCACAGGCACCTCAAACCTTGTATGTCCAAAACAGAATGCGTGTTCTCCTTCCCCTCCCAACACCCTCCAGCCAAGCCTCTTCCTCTCGTTCTTTCTTGCACCTGTGTGCTCAAAGCAGGTGTCTGTGAGCCCCCTCCTATTCTCCACCCACTATTTAACCCACGAGCAAGTCTCGTCATTCTTAAATTGAAACTCCTGGAAATGATCCACCTCTCTCCAGCTCCACTGCCCCAGTCCTGCCAACCTACCATAATGTCTAGATCGGAATGCTGCAGTAGCCAGCTCCCTAATAGGTTTGCTTGGGTATATCTGCCCCTCTGAGTCCATTCTCTACATGTCAGCAAATGTGATCATGGAACTCCTCCTTGGCAGAGAGAGTAAAACCAAACTGATCGTGATTTACAAAGCCCCGTTTGATCTGGTTGGTACCCACCCACTTCCCGTTCATGAGGCCATTCTTCCTCCCTTTGCTCATAATACTGTTAAACCAGTTCTCAGTTCTTTGAACACCCTATATTTTCTTTCTCGAGACCTTGGCACATGCTGTGCCCCCTTGGAATGCTTCTCCCTCAAGTCCTCACATGGCTGGCTCCTTATCCTTTAGGCTGTGGCTTAACTATCACTGACTCAGAGATTTCTCTGACCACCTTGTCTAAAATAGGTCCATTGTCATTTGGGTTGTCTTTATAGCATGTCTTATTTATAATACTTACTTCTTTTTCTCCTTCTGTCCTATCCACTAGGATAGAAGCTACGTGAGGATAGGAAGCATGTCTGATTGTTTCTCTAGAAACTAGCACATAATAAGGACTTAGTTTTTTGTTGAATATTCATCTAATCCTCACCTCTAGAGTTAATACTCCACTTTACAGAAGAGGAAACTCATGCTTAGGAAAGTTAGAAACTTAGTCCATGTCATAGAATCAGACTCAGATCCAAGTTTGACTGATTTCAAAGCCTGTGCCCCTGATACCTCAGGCACTTTTTATCTTACCTATTAAACTAGTAGTGAAATACAGGACTCAATATGAAATGAACGTGACTGCTGAATCCTGGGGTAACCCTGGAGAAGTCTCAGGATTCGTCATTCAAGGTCACATGCTTTTTTCCCTTACAGATTCTCCATAGGGTATACCAGAGAGAGAACCCCGAACCTGAACTCTGGGGAAATCACTCTGGAATGAGTTAGTATCTCTGACTCTTTTTTCCAGTTTAATCATAATTGTTAATCTTAGCACTCAAAATGCTTTACCTCATAAAGTAAAATTCAAAATTGAAAAAAAAAAAAAAAAGCCCCGCCTGCCAGCTAATGCGAGACTCTTCAGGGATGTGGTAGTTGCCATACTACTGCTGTTTACTACGGCTGCAGAAGATCTTCCCATTTTGTCAGTTCGCCCAGACCGTGCTGCGGGATATGCTAACGTACGCTTCTGCGGATGGATGATAGCTAATGATAGTGAATACTTGTGCTAAGCTATCTAAATGAAAATATACATTTGAAATGCATACACAGATATAGATGAGCACATCTCCTCACGAATTTAGAAGATACAGCATTACCTTACTTTACAGATGAGAAAACTGGGACACGGCTTAACCTGTCCTGGTCACACACGCCTACTAAGTGATAGAAAGAGGATTCAAATCCAGGCCATCTGACTCTGTAGACCATTTCCTAATGGCTACAGTGAACTTCTCTGAAAACTGAGCTTAAGTATTTTAAGTATCAGTAGCATCAGGGAGGTGAGATTTGTGATAGGGTCGGAGGCATACAGCAGAAAGGCATGGACCTTGGCTTGATGATCACGTGATCGTGGAAGTGGCTAGAAGGGGTGATAGAGACTGTGTGCTCTCAAGGCCTTCATTTTATAGGGAGGCGACTGATCTCCAGTCATCTTAGTAAAGGACTGAGACATGACGAGACTACAGGTCATAACTTCAGTATTCTATAGTGTGAACATGCTTATTTGTGGAAGAATACTATAAACTCCTTGGGAAAATAGCCAATATGGCCAGCTCCGATAGCAATACAGGGGTCAAATGCTATCATGACATCAGAGATTCTCAACTTTTTTCTATGTGAAAAAGTGCTCCAGGTAATTCTGATACTCCCATGCCATGCTATCTGCTTTAATGCAAGAAGCTTGGTTTGGGGTTTGATTTCAGAAATATCTAAGCAGGGAATAGTCTACTTTTAGCCACTGCATACTTTCATTGCTTATTATAAAAAGAAGTGGCGAATAGGGATAGGCCGCCTGAGGACAAAGGTTTTCATCGTATGACTCTGCCTCCTTGCCACATCTGATTGGGGTAGAGGTGCTGCCCACACCGGATTTCCTCAACCAGCTGGGTCATGCTTTCTGTGTATCATAGCTCAGATGCTTTAAGAAAACCAATTAGTTGTTCACAGACCCTGGAGTTCCAAGGTTAGACTCAGGGTCAAATTGATCACAATGGAAGCCTTGTGTAAACCATACATGGGGCAGCAAAAGTTTGGAATGGGAAGCCTGACTGCAGAGAGTAACGCTGGTTCCTTACTTCGCAGTGCTCAGTTTTAGTCACCGTGTGGTCCAGCAACACTTTGTTCCCTAATACCCACTATGACAAGAACAGTAGGATTCACATATCATCACATGCACTAGAAAAACATGGCAGGTGCTTAATAAATATGTGTTGAAAATGAATAATAATAGTCTTGCCAGTACAACTGAAAAGGTTTTCATTGCATGTTTATTATCAGTGCATCAATATAGAACATTTTATGATTAATGACATGTGAATACCAAGTTTTTTCAAACACCAAGGGCAAGTATTTTCTGGTAAATATCAATTTTCCCAAAACAAAATAACCAACATAACACACTTTTAGGAGATAGTGATACCAGCAGCATAATTCACCCAAAATGCAAAAAAGGTAATACTTAAAATCACACACATTAAACTTCCCCAGTGTAAAAAGACTCAAAAACTTCATGATAACAGTAAACTACAAAATCCACTCTGGAAATGCAGGCAGTTATTCTTCAAATTTTGACTTTAAGATTTTTTTTTTTTGAATGTTAAAAAATACGGTGAGGAGTGTGTTGAGTGAGGTGTAGAAAAAGAAGCTTCCAGTTGATGGATTCAACTTGTCTGAAAATACTTCAGTAACGTAGAGGAAAAACTTCAAGAGCAAGGATATATGATAAATTAGTCTTTCAGCAAGATGAACACATGAGCAGTTCCTGCATCAATTGCACCCACAGGAGACACAGCTTCTTGAAGAATGCTTGTTTACAGAATCTTCTGTAAGATAGAATTGGCTACTTCCAATGTTTCCTCTTTTACTAGAACAATATCATAAGAGTCCATGTACTTCTCTAAAAGCTCATCCACCTGATCAACAACAACAAAAAAACCCATAAAGGTTAATATACAGGAAAGAGAAGCAAACCATTTCAGTATGAACCTCAACATTATGTTAGATCTGTGGGGCAAATGTGGTACATTAAATTCACTTTCAGAAAATGTTTGAAATGAAGCAACTATTCGCATTTTTAAGACTCAGTGATAGATGTTTTCCCACATGGTAGCTTTTCCTTCAAAATGATTTCTCTTGAGTCCAGTGCTTCCCAACTGGGGAGACTGTGCCCAAGGAACATTTGGCAATATCTGGACTTTTGATTCTCATAACTGGGGAGTGCTACACCCTCCCTTCCCAACACCCATTGCATGCACAGGTCTTTTACTTATCACCTCAGTAAAGGGGTCAAAGAGCAATCCAAACGTGTCAGGCACCTTTGCTAACAATTACCTATCAGGTTTCACCCGATTCTTTTCTTGAAAATGGGATGACAGGTTTGTATACTCACTCTGTCATTTAGATATCCAATTTTCAGAATGTGTTCAACATTGGCTACTCCATCTGCCATTCTTAAGTCTCCCTGGGAGTCTCCCAGCAGAATTATGTTGCTGTTGTCTTTCAGTTCACTGAAATATTCTGTGTTCTTCAAGGCACCATCATGTTTGTTAAAGACATGAATCAGCTCTCCTTTAAATCCTTTGAGCACCCCCTATTAAAAACATAAATCCTTTGAAATAATGGTTTTGCAAATTCTGTTTTATTTTCACATTCACGATTGGTAAGAAGAGCTCTGAGAAGTAAATGACTTTCTAGAGACAATTTGAAATGTTAAATACAAGTTGAAAGTCCAATTTCTATTTTTCATTTGGTTTTTAACGAAAAGGTCCTATTTTATGTATATCGTAATATATCGTCTTGATTAGAACTCATTTATATTACATCAGTTCTAATTCACTTCTTTGTTTTCTACTGATAGATTTTGTCTTCAGAGTTGTCGGATTAAATTACACTGAAGAAGGCTTACTAATTGTATTCTTAGTTTATAGCGTGGGAAACAAAAGTTTAAGGAGGGTTATTATTTTAAAAACATGCATATGAATATTACACTGGGAGAGATGATGAGCCCCACAGAAAGCCTATCAACCTGGCCTAATTTAATGAGTATACATGAAATAATAAATAACATGCATTTACGTGATTAAAATATTTTCAGATTTTAAAAGTAATTACAAAGGATGATTTGATATTCTTACATTGTCATCAAAATCCATGAAGTTGGACACTACTTTGACATTTGGATAATAAACGCCAGCTTGACGGATAATCTCCTCGAGCACATCGCCGATACCAGCCGAAAATATGAACACAGGGACACTGTGTTGTTGGAGCCTATCAAAGAATTTCTCATACCCTTCTCTGTAAGACACAAGTACGATATGATTAGTAAGGTATAAGACATATCTCTTTTTCACCTAGATGTTAAAAAAGCTAAATATTTCTATCTAGTTCTATGGCTCACTTTTGTTCTCATTTCAAAACACTGCCCAAGGGGGCTGTGACTGATGCTGACATTAAAGTTTTTCAAATAACAGTTAATGTTTAGCCTCCTTTGAATAAATTCTAATAGTAAAATTTAGATGACTTTAGACTCACACTGAATATGGATGTGAGCCTACAGTTCAGAATTTATACCATTTAACAGCAAATAATTAAACCATACCTTGAAAAACCCACCGAGAGTGAGCTGGAAGATCTGCTTGTCATCCTGCTCATCTACTCCCTACCGCGAGAAAAGCAGAGTGGCAGAGGCTGAGCTGTATTCTCTTTGCATCTGGCATCTCTACTGCCTATGCCCTGGCAGCTATGGGAAATATTTTGGTTTTACAATCTTTTCTTCCCTTTTTATTCTTCCTGAGCTATAAACTGCCTAACAAAGGAATGAAATACTTACTAGTATCTCTTCCTTAGAAGCAGATCACCTTAAAATGTAGCATCATCAAAAGAAGAAGAAAAAAAAGAAAAAAGAAATAGCATCATTTTTGCCTAGAGAGTAGAAAATTGTAAGAGGTGCTAAACGGAATTGAAAATAAACTTTAAAATGTTTATAACTCATGTATTGGAAATTATTTTTATTATTTGCTAAAACATATTCTCCTTTCCTAGAGATATTTTTCAAGGGACTTTGAGAATTCAGAAAGTAGATTCGTGTCAATTTTGAAATAGGGTCTTTACCTAAATACTTTGAAAAGTATTTTGCTAAAAAATTTCAAAATGGCTTTGGCTCATAAATTTGTTAGTCTTGACTCTTTTAATTTGGGGAAAGGAAACGCAAATTAGTACTTCAAGCTCGTAAGTCTTTTATTCCCTATGCGAAGATCTAACCTGTCACTCCAAATTCCTATCTCACCACTATTTTGTGTTAGGCGGCATACACTGGATATGTTTTCATGTTTTTAATCTATTGTTATAGATTATTTTAATAAAAAATATACACCTTAGTGCATATGTAACAACAGTTCAAGTCTATAGACAAATAACGACAAAAACAAACAAACAAAGAAAAAACCACCCAAGAAACTTACTTGAGCATAACGTCGGATTCTGCCACAATTTCTCTAAGTTTGTCTTTTGGTAAAGCCTGTTCAACAAGCAGACTATGTGATTTAGTATACCTGGAGTTTATGGCCACAGAAAAAGAGAATATCAATTAAACGAGTTAAAATGATCTTTATTACAAAACATTCTTCAATATGAGAAAACGGAGTATTACATTCATCATAGTTTGAATTTAAATTTCAGAGGTTTAAATTTATCAGTAATGAATATATACCCCATGTGTCTCAAAACTTGATACGCATGTTCTTACAGCATTTCCCAGTTCTCCCTAAACTCTGGCTTACTTTAAATGTGTTAATAAGACAATGAAAGGGTACTAGTTGTAAACCTTTCCTCAGTCTACAGATAAGACTGAATCCAACCTAGGGAGGCATAATCATTCCTCTGATTGCAATAAGAATTAGAGCAAAGCCATTTTTTTCACCTGTTTGTAGTCTGAATTTTCATGAAATGCCTATGTACTGTGGATGTTGCCACGTGAGCAAGAGAGAAAATCCTTGCTATGGAAAGTTTTATACATAGTTGCTTCATAATTACAAAACAGTACCTGTAATCACAGCTTTTCAGGATCACAGGTCTTTAAGGACCTCTCCACCTGATACCTAAAGATTCTCCTATAATATTCCGAAGTGCAACCCCTTCTCTGGGTCGGCTCCCATCCTGTGAGTGAGTTCATTCTACCAGGGAAGATTATAGCATTGCTAGAACATTCTACTTGCTAGACGGTCCTTTCATCATGCTGAAATCACTCTTCTTAAGCCTTCCAAGTCTAGTTCCAGTTCTGCTTCTGCAGGCATGCAGGGTAAGCCTCACCTCTTTTCAACATTTCATACCGTAAACACTGATTAAGTGTGCAAGGTATTCAGTTAGGTATGGAATAATGAATGTAAATAACATCATTCCTGGTCTCTTAAGAATCTAAAACTCTTAAGATGTTTCTCAGGTCAAAATTCTCTATTCCTTGAAATGTTCCTTAACTGGAATGGCTCCAATGCCTGTGATTATCTAAGTGGGCTCCTCAGACACACTCTGTCAGCATTTCTCTCGAGACCATTCTCCCAGGATCCACTACAGGGCTTTCAGTGAGGTCTGCTTAGGAGGCTGCATTTAATTAATGCAGCCACCAATGGCAGAGGTCCATTTCTCAGGAACTGTCATCTGCTGGCTCCAACTGAGTTCAGAGCCAATTTAAATCCTAGTTCTTTTTCTTTACTTATTCAGCCATATCTTGTCCATATACTTTAAAGAAAAGAATTCTTGTTTTGAGTTTAAGGCTTAAGTGCAGGACTTTAAATTTATTCTTAGTGATAAAATATATATATTCCCCTCAAAGACCCAGCCTTTCCCCAGATAATCAGCAATCAGCAACCCATAGGCAGCAAAAGTAGCCCGGACCTGACTAAGGAATGGTCGCATGGCCGGACCTCTGGCAGGCTAAAGGTAACATCTTGACCTAGGTCACGTTTCATCAGCTCCTGAGCCCTAAGGTGGATCGACCCCCTGGCTACTTCCCCATGACACCAGACAGAGGCATGCCAGAACAAGACCTCAGAACTGTCCTCGAGACCTGAAGAAATGATTTATTACCCTGACCTCACCTGACCAATCAACTGCCAGCACAACCCCGAACTCTCTAACCCCCTAACCCCAGAGTCAGGTGATTTTGCTCTATATAATCTGTAACCCACACCGTCAGGGAGTTGGGTTTTTGTTATTTTGTTTTGTTTTGTTTTAGCATTAAGCTCCTCATCTCAGTATTGGCCAATTCAATATTAAACTATTTTTTCTTTCTATACTGCAAACTCCTACTTGTGCATTTCTCTGGGCCAGTGAGTGCAGGCAGGCAGACTCAAAGAAAAAAACACTGGGGTCCTAGTAACATTGATCTCCATCTTAAAAAAAAACAGAACAAAACAAATTCTAGACTATTGGAGTGATTAGAGAATTGGAGTTTAGAACTCGTTGGATAATTTGTGAATCTATATACAGTACAGGGGGAAAATAAATCATTAATTGTAACTCCAATATTATTTTATCATATTTTTAACCCTCCCTTCATCCAATACATACTTACCATTCTTCCATATGAGGGAACTTCTCTTCCACGGTAAGAAGAGGGTCAATTTCAATGGCATAATATTTTTCCTTCAGTTGTAGTAACTAGAAATAAGCAAATACCTTAATCATGCAGAAGACTGCAGAGTTGTTATTAAGCTCTTTAGTTTTAGAGAAAGCAAAACAATGTAAATGGGTGTTTTCCAAAAATTGCTTTAAATGGTAAAGATTAGGTCGTGAGCGCCTAACACATCCGTCAACTGGAAAGATCTTTGCTGACCTTAGTCTATGTGCAACTAGATACACCTGCAAAATGCTGCCTTTCTCTCTTTTTTAAGTACTTTCAGGTCAGCAATTAGTGAAACTGACTAATAAATGATCACTACAGAAAACTTTCATTCTCATATGAAAGTATTAAATTTGATTCCTCGCTGGAGTCTTACTTTGTTCAGACATACACAAACAGACACCTGTTCAAGGGAAGCAGGGAACTGAGGCAGTTTCTTGATCAATTTAAGGGAGCAAAACCTACATAAAATCAAAGCACTTTTGTTTCACTTCTCCAGTTAATGTATGGATACCAGAATATTCTGATAATCATTTAAAAGTTTTTCATATAAATTCTGCTGTTGCTGAAAAGTTACCATTACCTTTTTTCTTTAAAATATATCGAGAGCTATCATCCATAAAATAAACCTCACATTTACTGAGTGTTTACTACGTGTCAGGTATGGCTGGCTATAAGCACTTTGCATCCATTCTTGTTTGTGCGAATGAACCTGAAGACATTCTCAGGCAAAAGGGGTAATGAAGTCTTCCAGCAACTGCATTATCGTTAGTGCTTACCTTTTTTCGACATTCATCTGAAACCAGCTTACAGTTGTCAATGACATCTAAAGAGAAAAAGCAAACTAGGTGTGAAAAGAAATACTAATTGATGCTACCACTACTATGTATAACTCATTATTTTGCTTTTAAGTTTAAATGCCAAGTCAACTAGCAATGATCATTATAACTGTTGGTCTTAGTGCTATAATTGATGTGTCATTGCTAGAGAATCTAATCATTTTAAAATCTACAATTTAGTCAGTGCTCATTTACACCACTGAGCCAGATTATTCAGTCTTCAAACACTGAATTGTATACTGACTGGTCCCTTTAACACCTTCCTTTTTAAGCAAATAGAAGCAAGGAGTACATCTTTGAAATATACTTGTTACTTAACAAAACATTAATAAACAATGTGAAAATCTGGGAAATAGACTATTGTAAAAAAACAAAAATTACGATTTTACCATTTAACAATAAATTACTAAAAATTTAGTATGTTTCTTTTTAGTTGTAAAGTTTTCTGCATTAGCAATTAGATTAGGAATTAAACAAAATCTATATGTTTGAACTTTACTTTCTTTTTCACTTTACATCGTAGTTTGTATTTTTCCATCTATTTAAAAGCACTCCGTGAACATCACGCATGATAGCTGCATGTCTGCTGTTATGTGGGCATGACATTATTTATATCATTTCTACAATGTTAAATTTTTTAGGTTGTTTCTAATCTTTTGCTGTTATAAATAATTTTATGTTGAACTTATTTCTGTGATTACAGCTTTCCCCCGCTACATTTAGGATTACTTGATTAGAAATTTTCCAAAGAGAATTACTGGGCCATAAGTTATGATTTTTAAAGGTTTTTATGTAACTTATCAAAATGATTTCTCAAGCAACACATGCACTAACAGTAAATGAGAGGGCTTATATTACTGCTTTTTGTCAGGTTAAAGAGTATTATTTTAAAAACTCACTGCCAACTTAATAAAAATAAATAAATAAATAAATAAAATAAAAACTGCCAAGTTTGGAAAACAAAAAAGGTATATTATTCTAGCGATACAATTTAATTTGATATTTATTTAATAGCTTTTCTTTAATTTAATTTATATATAAACAACAAAAAATCTAGTAACATTCCTAAAAAACACAGAGTCCAAAATTTAAAATCCATTTAAATATTTCTTGAAGGGGGAGGGTGAAGTGGATAAAGGGGATCAAATATATGGTAGCTGAAGGAAACTGGACTCTGGGTGGTGAACACACAATAGAATATACCGATGTCAAATTACAATGTACACCTGAAAATTATATGATTGTATTAACCAACATTACCCCAATAAACAATTAAAAAATAAAAATAAAAATAAAACAAAATAAAAACTAAACAGTTTTTGAATGATGAGCAAATTATATCTGGAGGGAAACATTTTAGAATATATGGTAGCTGAAGGAAACTGGACTCTGGGTGGTGAACACACAATAGAATATACCGATGTCAAATTACAATGTACACCTGAAAATTATATGATTGTATTAACCAACATTACCCCAATAAACAATTAAAAAATAAAAATAAAAATAAAACAAAATAAAAACTAAACAGTTTTTGAATGATGAGCAAATTATATCTGGAGGGAAACATTTTAGAAGTCTTCATTCCACTTACGACAGAAACCAGACATGAAAATAGCCATTCATATAACATGGGAAAAACCAAATCTTCAAAATATAATAATAAAAAAAAGCGCAGGTACCCTCATTTTCAATATCCAAAAGAAGGAAAAAATCCAATTTCATAGAAAATATAATAAATAGGAAAAGATCTTAAGATAATGATTACTTTCATGAATTTGTCATGAGTGCCACACTTACTATGACATGTCGGGCATCTTTTTCCTTCATAAGAAAATCTACTCAGTGTCATATCAAAGTCTGTTATTATCTATAAGAAAATGGAAAAAGTCATTATGAAAACACAGCCACGAGGCCAGGCACATACTGTGAGCTTCCTGGAGGCTTGGAGCTGTGTGCAGTCCGGACCTTGACTCTAAGTTATTCTCTCTACGCTGAATTTTCTAATGCAGTTCATATACAAAGTCCTGAGAATTATCTTAACTACAAGATAATACCTTGCGTGCCCTAGCATTGTCACCACATAAAATCTGATTAATCGGTTTAGGAATTTGCAATTGCAGATAATAAATATGGTCACAGTTATCCATGGAGATAAAGCATTGCTCAATTTTAGCACCGTTGGTCACTGTACAAAAATGCAGTGAAAGCAATTAAACTATATGAAGCTCTTAGTTATGGACAGTGTTACATTCTAGATGTAACTTGTCTATTGAGGTAAATAAATATACCAATCAATGAATGCTTCATGGTAATAGTTGCCAGCTCTTGAAATTTAGGAGATTGGGTTAAATATTTTTTCAAACATGTTTTATAAAAGAAATGATTTTTCTCTACTGAATGTACAGATTGTTGATTAAATTTATATTTAAAACTTTCCTTTAAAAAGAGAATTAAAAAATATGTTATCCTTAAATTACACCTTAATTTGAACTACTATGATTTATTTAATTAAAAGGTAGAAGAGAAACTAATATTTTAATATTATTCTTAAAATGTTTTAATACTTATGCACAGTATTAGTTAACTTGGTACTTAATATTAAAGAAAAGCTAAAATCATTTTAAGGCTATTAATTTTTGTTTGCTTCCCACAGGGTATTTATCCTTGTATTTCTGACCAACTCTAGATAGACATTTAGATTTTATAAAGGTTTAGTAATAACGGCTTCTTGATAATTATTCACCTGAAGTTTGACAGCTCCTCCTTTGATAAGACCACAGAGAATTTCTTCTACCCTTGTAGGGTTCTTGATGCGAACTGAATTTTTCTGCAATTCTGGCATCTAAAAATAAAAGGAAATTAACTGACTTTTTAAAAATGTTTTATGACTTTTTTTTTTAACTTAAGCATTTTATTATTAGTTTCGTGTATACGGTACACTGATCCGACATTTATAAAGTTTATGAAACGATCTCCCTGATTATTCTTTCTCCTTCCTCTGGCTCTACACACTGCTACCACTTGACTGCTGACTGCATTCCCGGTGCTGTGCTCCCCTTCCCCACGACCATCTCTCAACTACTCATTTGCATTTTAACCCTTCATCCCTCTCTCCCAGCCCCCCAACTCCCCTCCCTTTTGGCCGTCACCAGATTTTTAACTGCTTATTTTTAATTCCTCTTTTCCCAGGTTTCTTTGATGCCAAGCAGAAGCTTATATTATTTAAAGATTTTAATGTGTTGAGGTATTATTTAAAAACAAGCAAACCATCATATCAAATTACCATTCACACCAATAAAAATTTCAAAAGCACATCAGTAGTTTCTACCTAGAAGATTAAGACAACACTATATTTGTAATTAAAACATTATCAGAAAGTATAGTTTTTCTAATTATAAAAGTCATGCATGCTTACCACAGAAATTACAGAAAAAAGAAATTGCCTGGAATTTTACTACCCAAAGATACACAAAGAATCATTTTATTTTCCATTATTTTCATTTCTCTGATTACAAACATGCATGTATGTGTACATAGTTTATCTCATTCTCATAATATACTCTGGTATCTGGCATTCTGAAATAAATATTATTTATATAGTTACAAGAAAGTGTTTGTCTACGGCCATGCCACCCTGAACAAGCCTGATCCCATCTGATCTCAGAAGCTAAGCAGGGTCGGGCCTAGTTAGTACTTGGATGGGAGAGCACCTAGGTAGATCAGGTGCTATAGGTGTAAAAAGTAAAAAAAAATTAAAAATAAGGGATTGTAAGCTGACAAGGTCCTTGCAATCTGTGAGGTCAACCAAGGGTTGCCTTGCCAAATAAATAAATAAATTAATTGATTGATTAATCAATATAATTAATTAATTAATTAAAATTTTAAAAAGTGTTTTTTAACAGAATTTATTAATTAAAATAGAATCTAAGAATGGAATGGAGAATATTTGAACTTTGTGACAGTTTTCTTATAAGAACTTTTCTGCTTAGGATTTAGCTTGTATTCATATTTACGTTTTAAAACATTTCTTAGCAGAAAGGAAATATTACATTATTCCCCACAAGTTTACCCTTGTAGAATTTAAATATATTTAATTCGAAAAGTTGCTTCAAGAGCTCTGCTCCTTTACTGGACTATATTCCAAATAACTTCACTGTTCTTGGCATAGATTTTACAATGGGTTTATTTCAAGTTAAGACAACTACTAAAAAGTATTAAATCACCTGGGCTTAGACTGCTAATAGGCTCATTTATGCAGCCTTCAGTGTTTCTCAACAATTTAATGTTAAATGTTTTTCTTCTACCCTATCGCATATAGAATGAACTCGATCAGGGGAAATTCAGCACAAGCACATGTACAAGACTGGGAGGAGGAAATTATGGATCATTTAATACTATAAAAGATACTAACAGAATCTCAAAAAAAAATAAAAGGGCTCTATACTGGTTTGTACCCAATAATCTTTATTTTATATACTATTTTTCTGGGTATGTTACCACCAATATTGACATATTTCATGTGTGTTATGGACATGGTCATGAAAAATTCCCTAGATCTCTATCTTTGTTACAGGAGAATCTGACTAGGTTGTCTTTACATGATGGAAAAAATTAGAAAAATTGGAAAAATGCTAAAATGCTTTCCAAAGACCAGAAGATGAATACAGAAGAATTTAGGAAAGAGAAACACTGACATGAGAAATTTTCCCATGAAAGAGCTGGACCTACAATACACTTGCTTTTAAAAAGTCATTTTTACATAGGCTAGGATAACCTGCAATGCAAGTAACCTTTATACAGTGATCCTTTTAATTTAACTGGACTCTAAAGGATTTCAACTGATTAAAGAAGATAATTTAAATATTTACAATGATTTTTCAACAGATGAGACAAGCAAATAGGCACTTGTTCCTAGATTCCTTTTTTCATTCATTAACCCATTCATCTGTTTAACAAACACTTACCAAGTGTTTGTGTCAGATGGTCTTGCTGGATGCTCCGGATATGGTGCTGAGCAATACTGACACGGTTTCCTGTTGTTTTAGGAACCACTGCTGTTTCAGAGTATCACTTCTGTGGCAACTTTACAAATACCTCAGCCAGTAAGTTCACCTCCTAGCAACTAAATTCCACTCTTACCTCTCCCTTAACTGGGAGACGTAATCAGCACATGCTTGATTCAATAACTAACTTACTGAAAGCAGCAGACAATATTTTTTTCACCAACAAAACTGAACATTTTATTTCGGTGTGTCCATAGTGAGGAAGATATCCTGCCTCAAGCAAATCGTATCCTCGGTTTCAGAGAGCAGATATGAGACTAGCACCACATCTAAATAACTGGAGTCTGAAACAGAGCTTGTGGCCAGAGGCACTGGTGTCCCCACTTCTGTACAACAGACGACCATTCATTTTCAGATAAATAAGTAGTGAATAACCAAAACCACCAAAGTGATGGAAACATGAAAAATAGCTACTTTCTCCGGGGAACACAACAGGGTGGAGGACACAGGTGTAAGAAATATAAAAATGATCATTATATCTACCTTGGGATATATGGTATTACAGTACGCCACCACCCTCCCGCAGTACACATATGTCACTAAATACTTCTCAGATGTTGGCATTTTACTCAAATATTTTAGAAAATAGCCTAAGAAAAATAACTTAAAAATACATATGAAATGTGTACAAGATTATCAGAATATCCGAACATTAAGAAACACACTGCAGGAGTATGCGTATGCACTTCTTTATACTTTTTGTTACACCCTCAAATCCCTTCTCCCATATTCTTCTTGGACAAATATACACCTTTTTGGTGGTACATAAAGTCAGAATATTTCACATTTGAAGAGTGAGCCATTTTGAATTACCCGAAGACTTTTCAATTTGATTATGATACTGTTTGATAGAAAATAAGGGGCTAAAATTTTCCATCATGTATGAACAAAAGGAAATGAATTCTTTTTATAAGGCTATAATATAAAATGTTGGAAACGGAGCAAAGCTTTCCTGACAAAAATCAAGGTCTGATGATTGGTACCTAATCTGAATCAACACTACAAATGACTATGAAAAATCTAAACTACATCTATTCTGGCCAATCTTTAATATATTGTATTTGTACAAATGAAATGTACTCCTATTAGTCTACTTCCATATTCTAAAGCAATGACTTCTAAAGAAGCTGATTTCAAAGATATATAGGTTTATTCAAAAACTCTATAGCCATATTAATTGTTTGATATTACCTTACAAATACATTTACTGAGACAAGATATAAACAAGTAGCTAGCTGCATAGTATAATCAAAAAATTGTCCTAGTGATGTTTACTTGTATTTTTTCAAAAATGGCCTATATAAAAATTATTTCAAATTACTTAAGAATCTCTGTCTCAGGGGATATATTTTTTCTGTTCTCCAATGTTCATATTTGGTACAAACAAAAGACTTCATTACTGCATTGGTACGAAGGAGTAGACACTACAAATTTTATGTAATTACATAAAAAATGTAGATTTAAAGACACCTATTCAGACAGGTACATTTACTCACATACACAGATGATTCTGTGATTTACTGGTAGATTATACTAAATTTTAGTGATAACCTTCTCCCCCTGCCTACCACATATGTGGCCTGTCTCCACATTAAAGTTGTGTAGGCCAAATTCTTTCATTAATTCACCATAATCATTAAGTGGAAGGCACCATGAAGAGCTCTGTAAGCGACAAAAAGTTTTAGTAAGATGTCCTTCTTATACTCAAGACACATATTATATAATATGGATTATAACGCAGGAACCCAAATATCTACTACCTTGCCAAGACATCCAGATAAACTACAAACGGAACAGAAGAAACAGATTATTTCTGCTAGGGTCATAGGAGGAAGAGCCAACTGAACTAGGCTTTGAAAGAGAAGCAGGATTTGGATATGCTGACGTTGGGAAGAATCAAAGTACAGGGTCTAATGTGGGAAAAAGATAAATAGCTCAGTTTTTCTGGAACCTACTGTACCTGGAAAGGAATATGAGTGAGAGTGCGTGTGTGTATAAAGTGCAGAAGGAGAGATCTGGAGTCAGATCATGAAAAGTTAAGGGTAACATCCCAAGGAGCTTTCAACCTAAAAGATGAATCAACATTTTTTGAAAAGCAAATCCAAGGTAAAAGCTGCATAAATTAATGTAATGATAGCAAAAAACACATATATATCATCTTCTGGCTTCTTTTCCTTCAGTAGTCTTTTTGTGAGTTGACTACATGGCTACTTGCTTCTAAAAGAGACACATGTTAGAGGGCTCTGGGACCCAGGTAACCATGAATTATATGTAGAACATTCCTACATCATCTGTATTCATTTTGGCTAAAAATAAATAAATACATACATTGACTCAAGCAAGAAAATAAGTTTAGACTGATTTAATTCTACAAATCAGACACATATTCAATACCAATGAATCAAATACTAATACAATGGATGCAAAGTTAACATCGATGTATTACGTTGAATCATGTGAAACTGCCAATAGTGGACTACATCTGACATATGAAAACAGCAATGTCATATGCTTCGTCCTAACAGCAATTAACTGCACTGATGATGGCTTAGCCAGCACTTTGAGTCAGCTTTCCCCTCCCATCATATGCTGGATGAAGAAAGTCAAGCTGAATAAGAGATTTATAAATTGTGGCACAAAGTTGTTTGCATGCTAAGTCACGTTCTGGTTTACAGGCTCAAACCAGAAAAAGAAAGCTAGAGAGAGAAAGGATGAAAAACAGAGAAGAGGAGAAGCAACAGTAATGACCAAAACAAAACAAAACAAAACAAAACAAAACAGAAAGAAAATAAGAAAGAAATCATGGGGTAGTTGTCCTTTTTAAAAGAGAGGGAGAAATTGCTGTAATTTTTTAAGGGATTTTATCACTGTGAATATGGAGAACAGATTTAATTTTTTCCCATGCGTACAAATAAATATGCTAGTTACAGAGTTAAAACACTTACTAACACACTAAAACACTTACTAACGAGATTAACATTTAAAGTTAAGTGCTATTAGGCACTTTAGATACTTTTTCATTAAGTATGAATAAGAACATTTCATTTATGAGTCAGGTCTGAGGGTCTAATGTATAACACGGTGACTACAGTTTACAACTATAAACTATTATATAGTTGAAATTAGTATTTTTGTATAATTCAATCTGCTGAGAGAGCAGAACTTCAATGTTCTCAGCAAAAAGAAAGGTAAATGTGTGATAAGTGAGGGGTGTATTAACTAGATAGGGGGAATCCTTTCACAATTTTATTTGTCAATCATACCTCAGTAAAGATGGGGAGAAATATAAATAAGAACAAGATGAAGTTGGTGGTTTCACACCCATTTCTTAAAGGCAAGGCTGGCTGCCCTCGTTCAAGGGTATTGCAGCTATTAAGGACTAAGTTAAGAGGTGAAGTCAGTTCTGACTCCAAAGCCTGTGTTTTTCCTACCTCGACCTAATTTCTATAATGCAATAAACTCTACTGTTTCCCAGGAAGTTGTTAATTTAAACGCTTGTCATTTTTAATTTGGAGGCGCAAGATAAAATATCTCATGCTGTATGATTTAAGTGTGTTGTTGAGCAAGGAAAAATTAAGCACAGAAAGAAACGGGGTAACCATCTTATATGCCGAGAAGCACTATCATGCACATTAAGTTTCAAGCAAAAAAATTTTTCAAAGATAAGTTGAAAGTCAATTCAACAAATATCTGAGGTTCTATTGTGTATCGAACATTGTGAAGAAAGATCTGCACAAGATTACAGTCCCATAATTATCTGGTTAGAGACAGAGGTAAAAGCGGTGAAGATTTACCATTAATAAATGGAACTGGAAATCTTAAAATACCCACCATTTTCACATGTACAGCAGAATCTTGACTAGTCATTTCTTGGTTATCCAATCTTCTGGATTTTCCCAGATGATGTCACAGTAAAAGAGAGAGAAAAAAGGGACACGTGACACACGTACATTTCAGGCTCTTCCTATATATTAATGACATATTAAGGTGGTACTTTCGGACTGATTTAAATAGCGAATTATTGAAGGCATCTTTTTTCTTTCTAAGAAGCTCAGTAAAGATTTTACCCTACCTCACAAAGTCTGGGGCTAAGAATTTTTCATGGAGGATTTGCAGCTCTCCTGTGAGAACTTGTATGGTATTAATAAGATATGAATAGAGCTAAAGTATATAGTTGCAAAAAAATGCAGTACTGTAAGAACATTTCATCAACATTTCTCTACACGTAAGGATGAAGTTTGTGGGGAAATTATTACTATTACTGAATCAATGAAGGAATATCTAAGAAGAATGTAAAGAGAAACATGATATACAAAAGTCAAATTTATTCTTTAATTTTCTCATATTAAAATCTTTAATTTTATAAAATGATGTGACTCAGACGAGTTGTCTGAATCCAGCATAGTATCTGGCACAAAATAGATATGTGGTAGTGTTTGTTAACCGATCATTTTAGGGACTTGGGAGAAATTTCTATGCATCTATTTTTAAATCAAAAGAAGCAGTTTTTTAAATATCTCTTATTATTGTAATTTTTTTTTCATTTTTGCAGTATAAATCTTAAGGGAAAATTACTTATTTACTTTTTGGTCCTCAATGACTTTACTTTTACTTTATTCTAGATAAGTACAATTTTATAATAAAACTCTATTTAAAAAGGGCAACTTAGTTGAAAAAAAATCTGACTTTCTTAAACTCTAGTTATAGCAGATATATATATAATTCCCTCAAATTCTAAAATCCATTCCCTCGCCTTCCATTTTAAGTGCATAAAACAAAACTGGGAAATGTCATATAAAAAAGCATTTTCCCTCCTTTCTCAGGAAGGTTGTTAGTCTTATAACTGATGGCATCTTAGAGCTGTGTCAAAAGTATTTCCAAATAGTAATATGCCTCCAATTTTTCACATCTGAAAAATAATATAGTATCTATTATTTATCTATCTATACGTATACTCTATATAACTCATACAACATTTGATCGCCAACCTCAAAATGTAATTATAATGGTAGTTTGGGGGTTAGTAGTCTTTAGATGACTATATAGTTGAGCACACAGTCAAATCTAAGTAATCGTTCCTTGGTCTGTCTTCATTCTGTCGGTGTCCTCTAGCTTAAACAAAAGTGTCACAGAAGCTGTCTGCAAGTCTGTTTCTCCATTTATAGAAGAAACCAAAACATACATGTTTGATATCTGAAAAAGAGTCTGGATTTCTCAGAAGGCATTATTTAAATAAAACCATTTACTAGCTTGAAAAAGAGGAAGGAGAAGGTGGAAAAGTACAATAGAGTTTACAAAAATACTACATATTCTGTGAAACACTGGAAAAGCCCAACAAAAACAATTCAAGCAGTGAAGAACATATTTTAATATCTGGGAATCTAAGCTCTTTTTGTTACACATGGCCAAGCAGCCCAATTCCTCTCCATTAACAATCCCTAAGTATGGCTCTTTCTGGAGCATTAATGGTTAGTAAAGAAAAGAAAAAAGAAAAGGAAAAAAGCCAGTGTTAGTAGGTGAAAGAGTAATTGTCTTTCTCATGGTCTTGTCAAATTTTATCTGAACAAAACGCAAAAGAAAACAAGGTAACCAAAAATTTGCTAATAGAAAAAAAATTACAACTACTAAATTTGCAACTTTAGCATATTATTTTTGTTAAGTAAACCTAACAGTTCAGGGATACAATGCAAATTCCAACTGCAGATCGTTCATTCTTCCCAATCCTCCTCATTGGCAACCTGTCCAGAATTTATCCTCGTTCAAATATAATCTCACATAAAGTGATATTGCAGTCCTATTACAAAAATCAGCCCAAGGTCTCTATCATTATAAAAGTGTAAAGACTAATTAAAGCATAAATGTCAGCATTCTGGCACTATTCTAAAGAAGACACAGAAAATTAGGGCAGGGTATTTTTAAACCAATAGGCTTGTAAACCTATACTTGGTATATAAAGTTCTAGCTTACTTTGCCAACAGTCATCTGTTGCAGATGCTTCAGGAGAAGAGTTGCTGGAAAAACACACCAAGTGTAGAAGACATGTTCAAAAATAGAAAATACCACCCTTGAACTATGACCTCTCTTCAAAGGAAGTTTTGAAGTTCTAAGTCTCTGGAATTTTTCAGTGGGGACTGAAAAATGTGGAAGGTGGAAAATAACTGCACTTTCTGTATGAGATTAAGGTCTCTACTGCAACAGTGTCCATGACAAGGAAGATGTAGGACAAAGCTAAAGACTTCGGCAAGAGGTAAGAACTTCTTCACTTGAATAGCACAAACCTGGTAAGTGGAACTTTTAGGTCTCGTGGTGTTTCATTCTGAGATGACTAACTTTACCTTGAAAAGGTATTTACAAATCAATGACTGATAAATTCTATGTCTACATAAAAAATATTTACTTGCCATAAAACAAATTATAAAGTATCTGAATGCAAATTGAAAACTTTTAAAGGCCCATTTGATTCTCTTATGAAAAGTGGAAAATTGAATTCATTACTATAATTAGCTTCAAAAGTTATGATTCTGCTTTGATTTGGATAACTGAAGGCTCGTTTAAACTACACGCCAATAAAGGAATGAAATTTTGAATAGCCAAGTGGATATATTACAGTAATATATATTACAGTACTAAACATCCATGATTAATCCATTTTACTGTACTTTTCCAGCAACCTGTTTTACTTGTCTCAAGCTTGGGTTTTTAATAATGACACTTTCTTAAGGTAATTAGCACATGAAAATATCAAACTACAAGTTCGTTATTTCCATAGCATTGTATATCAGTTTCTTGGGGTGTTTAAATAATTTTCTCTAGTTAAATTTTTAAGGCAGCAGTGACAAAAAATGCACGAACCAGAAAGTGAAACTTTCTCAATACAGACATAAAAGAAAAATGAAACTGAACAGCAGAAGGTAGGAGAGGAAGAGGAGGTAAAGGAAAGAGAAGAAAAACAGATTTTTAAGACTAGTTATTTAGAAATTGGCAATTTATACCAATTTTCTTAAATAATAAAACTTGACTTCTTGGTAAGAATTTTGTGGATACTTATGAAAATACACAATTCCAGAGCTTAAAATTTATTTACTCACCTATTCTCCCCACATGCACTACCCTAATGTCTAACAGCATTTTTCAGATGAGTTAAGCTATGGCACAGGGAAATTAAGTAATTTACACTGATTACCCTTAAGGCACTCTGAGTTCTTCTGTCCTTGACTTTGTCCTAGAACAACAGCATAGGTGGCAAGCAATATCCAGAGATGCGCGCTTGCATACAGGCTGCCAATAAAAACCAAGTAAACTGCTTTAAAAAATGGTCTTCTGCAGTATCTAATTTTCCTGATTAAAAAAAAAAGAAACCTTTAAAAAAATAAGGCAAACTCAATTATTTAAATCTAACTTAGTCATAATGTCCTAGGCTTTTATGCTAATATATGTTTGAATCTTAATTTTTAATATATAATTGGTCTTAGAGACAGTAATCCAGTTTTTATCAATTCATAAAACATACTAGTATAATCCTATTCCATGATATCCTAGATAAAGCTCAGAAGCACAAAATAAAAATTAATTATCTTTATTACCAGCCATAATAAATAGTTCTTAATCCTAGAGACACAAAGCAGGTAGCTACCAGCAAAACTGAGTCACATAGCAACTGAATGGACAACAAAACTGGATCTTACAGTGTTTTTCCTCCCCTTGAAAACAGATTCCTGAGGGTATTTTGCTGCTTCTTAACATCTACATGTCAAACAAGAAGCACTTAAAATTAGATCTTATAAATTCTAATTTCCGAAACCTAAGACACTGCAAAATTCTACATATTCAGATACTTGTAACCTATAAAGAAGTTTTGCATTATATTAGATCATTCTATTTTTATTTCCTTAATTTGTTTTTAAATGCCTAAAATTTTAATCAGATACTGAACTAAATAAAAATCAAACAAAGTTAAACAAGAGAAACCCATTTGTTTACCTGGACTGAATACACACACACACACACACACACACACACACTCACACACACTTACCCCGAAGATAACCGGACGAGCTACGCCAGCAAAAGAAAATTCTTCCTGTCTGAGAAGTACTAATATAGCGTAAGGTGCAACTGGGGGGCGGTTCCAAAAGCCTTGGCTAAACTAAGCTCTACGCAAAAACAGTCTTGTGATGCATTACTACACAGAGTTTTATTATGCTCTGGGTGACAGGCTTGCTAGCTCTGAGCTCAGCACCAGTCAGTCTACGGAACATGATCAGATGAAATACTGCAACAGTTAAGAGGAGGCAAATCTGTACTGTCAGAGCACCGGCAGCTTGCTCTGAAAAGAAAAAACGAACTTTAACATTAACACAACTACGTCCTTCTTCGTGGTGGGTTTTTGTGTGTGTGTGTGTGTGGTTGTCTGTGTACTTGTCGTATGTGCATCTTCCTGTATATTATATTTCAATACAAAGGAGAAAAGATTAGGTTGTGGTTGCCTGGAGCCGGGGGAGGGGAGCTGGGGCTCTATTGCTCAATGGGTACAGATTTTCCCTTCGGAAGATGGAAGGAATTCTGAAAATGGTTGGTGATGATGGCTGCACAAAAATGTGAATGCACTTAGTGACAAGAACTGTACACTTAAAACTAGTTAAAATGGTAAGTTTTTGTTATGTGTATTTTACCAATTTTTAAAAGATCAGCTCATTTTAAAAATGTAAAAACAGACATGATGCACATATGTATGGCTAAGAGAATGTTAAAAAACAGTCTTTATTTCAGGGCGGTGAGATTTAATGTGATTTTTATGTTTTCTTCACATAGTTCTACATTGTAAATTTTAACAAGACCACGCATGCATGGATTTGCTTTAAAAATGTGAACACAGTGAAAACTAATTTTTATAGGTAAAAAAATTGAAAAAGTTCCTTTCCTGCTGGAAATAAAAGCAGTCGAATTGTTGTGAAGAAAAGTATTTTTAACCTTTAAGAGAACCTTAGTCTTGCTTTTAACCCAAGTAATGGGATTGCAAAACACTAATAGCATGTGTTAGCGCCTGATAAATCAAGCTGCAGCCAGTTTTATCATCAGGAACACAGCTAAGCTACAGTTACTTAAATACATTTTCACATTAGCATTCTCGTGTTTATACTCAAGAGAAATCAAACCCAGAGAACACTTCGGCAACCAAACTTTGTGAAGTAACATTCTTTGTTAAAAACAACCCAAGAATTTAAAAAATTGCTTTAAAAAAAGGTCATTAACAAATTAGCCAAACTTGGTATCTATCAAATGTTAAAACTTTGGCATTGCTATCTTATTTTAATAAGATTAAAAGAATCACAGCAAAACATTCCTCTAAGAGGAAAATCTTTTATACTGTACTAATGGAAGCTCAAGGGCAATTCATTTTGAAAATACTTTTGTATGAATATGATGACCTAACTGTACTGTAATATATTAATATAGTTAGCAGTGGTAAGAATTTTAAAGATATCACTTTGAAAGATGAATGACTTAAGATAAATCAACTTCTATAACAACAAAAACAATAACAACAACAACAGGATGCTGAAGTTAGAGTACCACAACCTTTTTGGAGGCCTACATAGAAATACTACTAAAATCTTTAGAAATATACATCCCCTGTAACACACCAACTCGGTGTCCTAAGGAATTTATTCTAAGGAAATATGGCAGTCCACGATTATTTAGTTGGAAAGATAGATGCATATTGTAGAGCTGTTTTGTAATACTGGGAAACTTTACAACCTAAATGCCCAATATCTAAATGTTCATTAATACAGGAGAGGTGAATAAACTGTGGTAAACACATAAAATATAAAATTATACAGTTCTCAAAAATGATTACAAATATCTGAAATTTATTGTGTATTTACTATGTGCCAGATACTTCTAAGTACTTGATAGTCCTCATCTCATACACTACTCATAACCTTAAAAGGTATGCGCTATCATTATCTTCATTTTGCAGGTGAATAAATTAAGGCTTGTACCTGGCAAGTGGCAGAAATGAATTCAAACTCAGGTCTCTTTGACTTCAGAATCTACGCTTGTAAATCACTTGATAGTACTGCTCTGTGAGATCAACATTTACAGATTTAGAGGTGCACGTGATCTACTACTGAGTGAAAAAGTTATGAGTACCTATAGCAAAAGTCCAATTTTGGGGGAAAAAGATCAAAGTACTTTACGACACAGAAAGATGGCTAAAGGAGGTGCTTTGGTCTCTCAGGGAAGAAGATGGCTTTGGCACTGCTGGTGTCCAGTCCTGCTGGTCAAAGGAGAGTAGAGAAGACAGGAAATAAGGGTACTGCTTCCTGCCTATAGGGAACTTCTGCTTTTTAATTCCAGCAAGTGTGTAAATGCAGTGAGGTGGGATGGTTATCTAGTGGGGTGTCCCTCCAGGGAGCACTAACATTTTCCCAGCAGTTTCTTACCCTGTGTGTCAGCCTCAGCAGCATGGAATGGCCCTTTATATACATACTAATTTATTTTAATCAGTATAGCCTTAAGAGAAAGATAAGAATTCCCCCAGTTTTTAATAGTTAGGAATGTAAGCATTGGAGCAGCTGTTACTTATTACTTCTGTGACTTATGTACAGGAACTTGGAATACTTTTTTTCTTACTGTATCTCGCTGTTTCCAGTCAACACTATACACATAACACATAAGAGGGCTAGAGATGTCTACAGCTAAGAATGTTTTGAAACTGTGCCACAGAAAAGGAACAGGATATAAGCAAAGCACAGAATAAAAGAAAATAAATTTAGTTTCAAATAGCTCTAGGATACTTTTTTTTTTTCTCCTTTGAGAAGGGATATAAAGGACCTAAAAAGAAGTCATTAAAGGCAGTCACTTTATCAGCACAATGGACTTTCATCTCTGGACACAGTGACTGGGCCCGGTTGCCTTGGTGTTTCTTTACTCACTGTCATAAAAACTGAAGTCACTCACGTATCACTCCTAATGCAAACTCGAGACCCGAAATTGACATGCCAAAGAGAAGAGAACTTCTCACACAGGACTCAAATCTTTGGAAGATTTTTTTCTCCCTTTATAACACTAAAAACGACTGTCTTTATCAATGGAGAAGGAGATGTCCATTTGTACTTCTGAGTAATTAATTACAACATTTAAGATACTGTCAATTATTCAAGCAATTTAAAAACCTATAATCACTTCATATACTGCCATCAAAAAATTTCTCAAAATTTTGAGTTAATGAAAAAACAGAAAAGCCCACAGAAATCAAATCTGTCAATTGATTAATTCATTTTGCCTTTGATCTTGGGATAGGGAAGTAAAAGGAATAAAGGTATTATATTAATTAATAGTTGTCTATGAAAGAAATCACTTCATAATCCCACATAAAGCCTATGGTATTATTTCTCAATAATCCAGTCTCAGATTTAACTACTAACTCAGTATAATTAATCCAATTATTATTTGGCCATGGAATGTATTTTTAACTTCAATATGAACTTGCTGACACCCCAGGAAGTTATCTCAAACAAAACAATAAAGTCAAATAAGGAAGACAATTGAGTAGGCAATAATACTCTGTATATGGACACTTACAAAACTTGTTCCTGATAATTGCTGCATGATGTAAACAGAAAGATGATTTTTTTAAACATGCAAAACATCAGTCTAGGCATCTGACTTCTCTTAAAACTTCTCTGAAAAGAACAGTCAACTAACACAGTGAGTGCTCAAAATAGAATTGCTATAAATGCTTACATGAATATAGTTTTAAATGTTTAAGGAGCAAAAACAAAGATGAAACAATAAATTATTACATTTAGGCAAAATGGACAGCAGGTAGATTTTCTCATAAGTTTTTCTCATTTAAAATCATTCCCAAAACTTATCCTGTTAGGTGACTGTTAGCGAAGCTGATTGTTATACTTATGAATTTACACACATATATTCAAATTGAGGAAAACCTATGGTTCTAATCTCAATGTATTTCTTAAAAATTCTATGCAAAACTCTAGGATTGAGTAACTCAATTTTCAGAACTCAAATGAAGTTCTCTAACAGTCTATATCATTTTTACTTTCTTACTTAAAAAGTAATAAATTCCCTAGTTTAAACTCCTTTAGAAAAAATGCCACTTATGTTGCAATAGGTAGGTCAAGTTCAAGAAAACTGGATGTAAGACAGTATCATAAATGAAGGGTGTCTTTCTTAGCTCTCCTTTCAAATGCACTATGTTCTGATATTTCAAGATGCTTAGTACTGAAATTGTTTCCATTTTATATCTGGATCTCTGTGCCTGAAATGGAACAAGATGAAAAACTGTTTTAACTTTGGACTCCTTCCACATTACACAGTTGGTATTCTGTTTGTTGAAAAGAAACAATATTGTTCAGAATTGCTATTTTGGTATGAGATATATTAAAAATGGCAAAAAGGTCATGCTATCTAAGCTTTTATTTTATTGTTGGTGTATAATATCCAATACATGTAAATGGAGAGTGCAAAGACTTAATACACCCTTTTGCTGTACCAAACTCATTTAAAAAATAAGGTAAAATGATGAAGAAAATTATTTTTGAAAGAGATTTAAGTTCATAAACAATTATAGCAAAGAATTATTAAAAATTATATGAAAGAGTAGTGGGTGATAACTTGAGTTTTAACAGTATATAAAGTTTTTTTTAAATGTTTATACATTTGAAGAGAACCTAAAGAGTATGCTTTTTTAATATATATTTTTAGGGGTTAAATAGATTTCTCTTCCAATTTTTGTGTATGTTTAAAATTTTTCATAATAAAATGTTGGAAAATAGATTAATTTACTTGTATTTCACTTTTTTCACATCTTGTTCATTCAAATATTTCAATAAAATCAATGATTACTTAATAACGAAAAAAGTACATAAGTAGAAAAAAATAACAAAATCCAGCTCTTTCAAAACTTCCTTGAATATTTGTAAACTCAATGTGGTAAATCAAAATACTTAACTTTAGAAAAGTTGTGATAACATATTATATTCAACAATATGATACATGCCATCAGAATAGAACTTACAGCCTTCAAACGGCTTTATGGTCAGGTTTTCTACTGGTGAGCTCTTTTAAACTTTTAAGGTTCGAATGTCTCCTTTGCTAGGTTAACAAACTATTTAAAAACACATAAAAAGTTAAGCTATCAAATTCCGTTTATGAAACTAATTAGTATAAAACCCTGAAACAAGCCTGTCAAAGATAGCACAAG